GAGGAAATTTCCCTACGACCAACACCTTGAGAGTAGCAAGGTCTCATTTTATGCTGACAGCTCAAACCTATGTCTTTCACTGTGAGGCTGCCACGACTAAATCGCACGTCCAAGCTATAGAGAATTTAAAACATAGACGCGAGATACTCTTAATGAAATGAATACATCTGCTAGTCTACGTCAAAAAATTGTCTATATTGACATGAAAAACCATTTCGTTTGCGCGTAGGACAATTTCGTTTTATAGTTTGTAAAATGCCATTTAACTGAAAAGGTTGGAGACATTTTCCGGTGAAGGCAGGTTTCCGGCCAAGATTTTACTGTAGTAATGTCTTTTGATTACAAAAAGGCGAAAAGGAATTTCCAGATGCTTATAAAGACTTAGGATGTCACTGAAACTTCATTTCATGCATTCATATTTAAACTTTTCCCCATGCACGTTATGCGATGTTGGTGTCGATATGAGAGAGTGGCTTCACTAGAACATTAGAGTTATAGAAGAGAGCTGTTGGCTGGGCTATCCGGGACGAGCCGCGTCGATGTCATGGTGGCTAACGTTTCGGGCAGCGTATTGTGGCCTTCTTCAGAGCGCCAGCGTATTTACGAGCTGGCAGTACGCTCTGAAGAAGGCCACAATACGCTGGCCGAAACGTTAGCCACCATGACATCGACGCGGCTGGTCCCGGATAGCCCAGCCAACATAAACTCCGGCCGCGGAAGCCTACGCAACCATAGAAGAACCAACTCTTAGCTCTTAGAAATCTAACCAGTGGCGGGTCGTGTTTAGGTTGCACAACCCCTAGATATAATCGAAATATATCTCTTAATATCTTAGGAATATACATATACCTTTTAATGACATTCAATATTCACGATATTGCAGTAATATCGATGCATATGAAATCGTTTTGAAAGCAAAAACCGTCCAACTGAGGCTCTCCCAGGTGTCTGGTGCCGTGTCAGATACTGCACCAAGTTCTTGGATCTGAGCTATATTACTAGGTTTACTGCATTTCCTCTTTGACCCTACGATTTAACACGGGCAATAAAAAGGCTCTTGGCTGGGCAACCAGGTCGCGCTCTAGCGCTTCACGGCGTCGGAGGGAGTCTCGGGGGAATACCAAACTTCAATCTTCGTCTGTCTCGCTGCAAAGTAATTTTATAAATTTCGCGTGTTATTGAAGTACACAAGTTCAGTCAATTATCAATGGCATTTAATGCATTATTTATGGCGTTTAGAGAATTTGTTAGATATTCAATTTACTGATTTAAAATGTACACGTTAATTCTTTGTGTAGTTGCCCGATTTGGAAGGAAGTCTAGGTCTCTTTTCTCGGAAGATGCAGCAGGCTGCAGTTACACCACGAAGAGCGCTGGTGGAATATGAGCGTGAGTATGTAAGATCGTCGTTGGAAAATATACCAGGGTAGTGGTATTTTCGAAATAAAATAATATTATTTGTGTGATACGTGTCGATGTAATAGTGCTCGTTGCATTGCGCTGGAGTCGAACATAAGGGTCCTGTGGAAATCAAAGCCAGAACCACATGTGTGAGAGGAATACAATATATCTGACTCAGTCACGACGGATGAAATTATGTAAGTAATGATTCAATACACACTTTTTTTAAGTTATATTTAATTAACGAATTGAATTGATTACATTTTTATTATAATTTCGTATTTTGAATTTTGGAAATTACATTTTCGTCACTCGATGGAGGTGCAACCTCTAGTCTTTTGAGGCACCAACCGCCAGTGAATCAATCCATGCTAGTAGACTATTGTTGGATGCTTTGCCATGATGACCAAAACATTCATAAAAGGAAATCAGCAGCTGTGCATTTATAGTTCGGAAATCTTTTTATTCAACGAGTGACATCTTTACTACTCAACCTGTACATTATTTACACATGAGATCTGTTAGTTGGCTTTATATACTAAAGTGTGCATTTGCAGCCATAGAAATTGAATATACAAGTATTTCCGAAAATGGGCTTTATTTCAATGGTATGTGATAGGCAAAAACACAAAACAGATTCGTATTCAGTTAAAATAACTGGCATGACTGTTTTAATCCCCCGCGGTGAAATTTAGTAATAAATTGTCCACTTCAGTAATGAAGAAAAAATACACACGCCTAAAGCAGGAGAGTTTTCCATTTATATTACTAGCACACATTATTTTAACTGTATTTCTTAAGTCCGATGATCTGGTTAAAAGATCTCCAAAAGGACATAACTTATCTAAATTTAACAATACTTATTTAACACACACATACACACAACATGCAACTAAATTTAAAGACATTAAGCACAGCATAGTGTTTATTCGTAACTTACTAAAAATTCTTCGGTTGCTGCAGTTCCAACAACTGCACAAAAATCTCCGAAGTTATTTGCACACACTTTTCGTACGTAAAACACAGGCAGAGAGCATAGTGCTGCAAATCGATGCATAAAGAGACGCTCAGTTGCTTCAGCGCCCAGGAGAGGAGCCATCTTGCTCATTAACTGCACACAAATTCACACAAAACTTTTCAATGTTGTGACAATGAGAAGCTTTTACAAGTTATAAAACAAACATTAAATACTAATTAAATTAATGGGAGATAACTTGTTAATTTTTCTGAGGCATGTTTGTAGTAACCGTATTCATTTGCGCTCATCAAAGCTGGCTGTGATATGATAAATAAAACATTCACACATCAAAGCCACTTTGATGCGTGCAACCAAATACACTCAGAAGGCCCGCTGAAAACAAAGCCTAAGACCAACTACAGTAGAGTCGCAATAATCTGAGGTAATTGAGACTGATAGTATTTCGGATTACAAAACTCTTCTGATTACACGGAAAAAGGAAAATACGTAACGGCATTTTCAACTATAATTTATAACGAAGTCAAACTTCATGTGCAGATACTATTAAAATTACATATACATACATACGAAATATGAGCGCGAACTGGTCACAACAATGTAGCAGACAGACTTGACATTGGCACCTCCCGCTAAACACGTGACCTACGATGCAGTGTAGACACACCGTCAAGAACCAGCTCTTGACTACAGCCGCTTAGTTGCTTGTTTGATGGCTTCGCCCACATCAGGCCTTCTTGGATTGAACGTAATCTCGGATTACCACGACTCTGCTGTCTACCTTTTACTTTATGGAATTCTTTTACACGTAACACGTTGAAATAACAATCGCATTTTGAACATTAGTAGAAAATGAACTACTAACAAATTGTCACATGATAAATTGGATATTAAATGAATCCCCTTTAGGCTTCTCTCAATCTCACTACCTACCTAAATATTGGTAATAATACCCACAATGATCTTTGTAATTAAGAAAGCCCAATAAAGCGGCATCGGTAAATAAATGTTTAAATGTCATTTTGTACGCTGAATTCTGAACGGAATCGTTTATTTCGAAGATATAGTATTGTATTCTATACAGGTATAACAAAACTCAACAGCAAAACGTCTGGAATGGATTCATGTGAAGGGAAGCGAAAAACGTTCATTAAAAATGGTTCCGGAATAGCTTCGTTACCAAATTATCTATTTCCTAATTTGAGTGCGTGCTCGTGTATCCCAAGAAATGTGAAAATTGACCACCGCCACCTATCTTAAAACCTATGCTTAGGCTTCTTTGATTTCGCATTGAGTCCTGAACTAGTTCATTAAGTATAGTTTTAAATGTAGATCACTGATCATCTCTGTGGGCTTTTCCAATTTCCGTGTTCGAACGATTGATTTCCAAGGTACTATAGTACACATAATAAACAATATAATTGCATAGAAAAAATGATAATTTGGCAGAAAATATGAAATTAAATCAAGAACAGTAATGAAACCGTCAATTTTGAAATTAATTCCATTTATTCTGTCTTCCACTTAACGGTGCTAGCAGATTTCCAATCCTGCCCACTCTTTTACATCATTGATTAAAACAATTCAAATATATATTTATTATTGACATTTAAAAAAATGTTTATGTTAAGGTAACACTCTAGGTTTGTGTTATTAAAAATATTCGATAAATGATAAATGCAAACATGCCTTCCGCTTGCGATGGACGTTTCATGTAAATTACAATCAGCGGAATTTTTCTTGACAGATTGGTGAAATGCAGGTAGAAGAGGGGATTTGTTACATAATCGACTACTCAAACATTTGAAATCCAACCTCTCGAAAATCGAAGACAAACATACGTTTCAATATTAAAGCCTGTTTTACACGATCATTTTTTCATCATTTTTCGCCGGTACAGGAAACAGACAGACCAGACTGGATGTAATTTGTACGAAAAAATTACGCTTGCTTCATTTTTCTGTACAGATTTCATCCAGTTTGACTACTGCACTCCTGGCGTCACTTTTCGGAACTTCCTCTGGTTTGTCATGCATTTGGTGCGATTTGTTTGTTTTGAAGTTTCGAGACCGTTCTGATGTGTTGAATTGTAATGTATTACTCCCGCAAGTTTTCTTGATACACGAGCTCCCTAGTCCTCATCCAGCGCTGAATAGCACGGCACGTTGACATACTTAGGTTTGACTCGGAACGGCACGTACTCATTTACAATGCTGGCAACAACCACCTCGTACTTTCAAAACAATCGTAGCATTTCTAGTGCCATGATTTGTCGAATTAAGTTCATGCCCACAGTTGGTACGCCCTTTTCAACCGTGACGTAGCCACATCCTTCCTCTCCCCGCACCCCCCGCTATGGAATATCAAGAAAACTTGCGCGTATAGTAATGTGCAGTGAGAAATAAATCATGTACTGTGTTCTAATGTCACCGCGTTCCCTGCTCAGTTCAAATATAACCTAACTTAATTTGTTACCATAAATGCGATGTTCAAATGCAAATCTTCAGCGGTTTTTGTGGCATCCAGTGACGTATTTTCATCACGACTACGTACAAAGGCAAGTAATGATCATGTCAAACGCTGGAATGACTTTCATCCAGTTTCGGGACCGAAACATAACGCGTAGAAACGAACGTCCTTTTTCCATCCACTTTCTGTACAGAATAATGATGAAAAAAGGATGGAAAATGACTGTGTAAAACAGGCTTAAGCTTGAAGTGAAAAATCCTGTTTTATAATAATAAATTCCTACTTATCAATCGGGTGTTTATATATTAACTAACTAGACTAACCTTTTTAAATGGTACCTGAAATACTATAAAACATCCTTACATTCGAAGATCTACGGAAAGACGGTAGAAATACAGTCTCTTTGATCATACATTCTTTAACCAGGCGTCTCTGGAGAATTTAATGAATTATTGGCTCTTTTAGTCTTTATTTTCCGAATCGTCGAAATATTTGCTCCAGTGTTAGCGAAAGCGCGATCCAAAGTATACATCGCAATCTTGTTCCAATTCGCATGCCGTTGGAAATTTCTCAATTATTTTGCGATCGCCGTTATTATCAGCTCCAACTTTCTCACGAGATCGACGCGTCTCCTCTGAAGCATCTAGATCTCCCACATGTAATTTCAAAAGATTTTTACAAGGGAAAAAAAAAAAAAAAAAAACAGTTCGCGACTTCAACAACAAATAGAATATTTCGTAATGATGAAAACGTTGCAAATTCACAATCATTATTGCTTCATGTTTGCAGCGAGCTTTTACCTTCAACTGTTTGTTGTACAAGGGAGGGGGAAGATAACAGAGCATTGCATTAGAACGAAAATAACAGCTCGATTATAGCGAGGCTGCGGCATCGACGCTCGGTGTAGGAGATCTGTGTTTAACAGAAATTACGACCGGCCACCTTCCGCCTCTCGGTTGTCAGCAGAACAGCCGAGCGGCGCCGGGCGTTCGGCCTTTGCACAGTGGTTGGTTTTCTTCATCTAGCGGTATTAAGGTGGTTAGAGCGAGATATTCCCTAGTAGAGAGTCCATATTACATCCAAAATTATTTATTTGCGAAATATGTGGGTATTGTGAGACCTACATAAACAAAATAGGGACTTTTACGCTGAGTTTTATTTAATTAATCGAATTAATTTGGTTTCATTAATGTAAAATAAATCCATTTTAATACCACAAAAGAGCTACCGTTTACTACTTTCTTAACTAGTACCAACAGATCGCATGGCCACGGAATGAAAAATTGAAGCAAAAGATTGAACACAAAAAAGCCATATGACACAATTAGTACGAGCAAAATCATGAAATGTAACATTATAGACACATATCTATATGTTTTTGTACAGTGATCGCTATAACGACAAAAATTTCCATGTTTGAGTGGAGCGGAAAGTCTTTAGTAAATTGGGCAATGCCGCAATGTCCTTGAGATTGAAATGACTGCTCAGGGCTCATGCTTCTTCAAAGTTTCGTTGTTTTTAATCACTTTTAATACTGTTCGGTGCCTAGTCAACACACGGTAAATATCACAATCTTAGCGAATTGGCGGAAGGTTTATTTCCAAAGCGGAATTTGAGAGTAAACGAAATAATTCCCTCAATATTACGAGAACAGGGACATAATAAAAAGTTTTCAAATATTTTTTCAATGTTTGTTTCTCACAAATTTATATTTCTTGAATTACCTGAGCCAATGGTAGAACAAACCATAGATTATTCGAATGTTTAACAAAAAGATGAACAGCAGTTTGGTTCTTTCCAACATTATATAAAGCTTTATATTTCTTTATAAATATATAATATAATATAAGTATAAAGCTTTATTAATGACAAAAATCATTGACTCCTACCGCTCCTTATTATCCTTCTCATCATAATATTTTTGTTTTGTTTTTTTATTCCCCTATTTTATTTTTGCTTAGTTGATTAAACTACATGATCATTTTTTTGTTTCAATAGCTATCATTGAAATTTTAAAACTATGTTTCCAATTGCAATGTGCCATATATTTCCTGCGTTGCAATTGTATAATTCATAAAAACTATTTGCCGTTTTTCAGTGTAATTTTATATGTTATGATATTGATTTAGATGCAGATTATTGTGTGAAGTACATATCAAACTAAAACTGGTAAAATGAAATTACTGGAACATATAATTCTGAGAGGTGTATTATAACATTATTGGAGATAAAATCTTCAAAAGAGATCTTCAAGTAGCATAGTCTTTTGTAATCGTTTGTGTTAATGTTACACTCAAAATGAAAAGAGGATTAAATGTTTTGAAATAAGACATGAGAACCATCCAAAATGCTACTACTGAACAGAAAATGCAAACAATTAGATAAAATGAAGTGCCGAAGAGAAAAGGGGTTTCTATTAAAATCCTGAAACTACCAAAGGCTGAATACATCATTTGTCTTACCATTTCAATAAAATGTAATTACTAAATTTGCCTATGGGCGATTTAGATACTGGAGGCCTTCAAGCACAAAACTATACTGGTCACTACTTCAGAAAAATCTTAAAAAAAAAAAAAAATTATAAATAAATCTAAAAAACACTAATTATGATAGAATAAATCATTGTTCCAAAACAGATGTAAATTAACCAATTGCTTACAAAGTGG